AATTTATATTACTAATTTTTGAATAACTTAACCAAACATCTATCTATATGGTGTAAATCAACATTATTGAACTATCCTCTTAAGAGTCTCAAAGTAGGGCAAGATTTAGGTTTTATTGAGATAGCTTACTGTTTTATTTTTCAGATTATAATCACAATTTTTATTTTGCACCTCTTTTTTTTTTGTAGCTTTAAAAAGAAATTTGTACTGAAAATATGTTTTTTACGCTTATTTTAAAAAAGGGATTTTTACATACATAACATTTCAAACTATTATAATTACATATTTAACACCTAAAATTTTATATTTACTAATATACCATTTAAAACTTTTCTTTTCATCTATTCTAACACTCCCTGCTACCCCGTCAAAAATTCTCTCAGCCTCGTGTCTTCCCTTCGACCCGCCTTTCTCAGTTTTCGAGATCTTACACTCATTTGTTGCCACAGATTCACCACCGCCGGCTGTACCGTGGATGGGAAGGATCTCAGCGGCACCATTAAAGAGATTTTGGGGATGTATGTCTCCGTCGGCTGTACCATGAATGGGAAGTTTCTCAAAGACTTGCAGACGGAGATCACAAATCAAGGGGAAGTTGAAGTACCGCTTGAGTAAGTATCGTTTGAACATCGCTGGGATTCTTATGTGTTATTGGGTTTGATATTCTGTTTTCATCTTTCGAACATTTGGACAGTTAAAGTCTTATTTGACATTGCAGTGTATTGTAACTTAAGAAGGATTTGAGCGAATGTTTCTTTTAGAATTAAGTGTTGTTTTACCTCAATGTGGTTAAGTAATTTTTTTTTTTATTATTGTTGAACACTGATTGTTGAGAATTTTCTTCTTGTCTTTTTTTTTTTCAATAGCTTGCTTTATTTTCTCGTGGGAAACTTGAATTTCCGTTGATAGATAATTTCTGTGTACTGGGAACTAATAGATTCGTTGCAGATAAAGATTAATTTAAATGCATCATTGAATTTCTTTGCCCCTATTTGTCAAACAGAGAGATAGTGGCGTACTTGGGATTGAAGAGTAGTTTTTTTTTTTTCTTGAATCATAGATTTCTTGAACAGAGTTTTCTATGCTCTATGTAGCTGATGTTGAAAGTCACAATTGGTAATGTTTACCTTCTTCTCTGCATAATATGGTTGGCGCAGACTCTGTAAATTGAGGACAGGTACTCCGGAGCGAGATATCAAAAACTGGTTATGCATGCCAGGGATTTGGAAGCCATAAAGGCTGATTAGACAGAGGCCCTGAAATCAACTTCTCCTTTGAGGAGGAGCAAGTGATAAGGTGAGTTAGCGTACAACAATCGAACACCAGGGACTCGAAGCGTCTTCCCTAGTAGAAAGCATGACATCCAATCCACACCATTGTCATCGTCGTTCTCAACGTCATTCCCGGTCAGATCAAGAAATGCACTCGTCGTTCTCCAACATCGCCAACTGAAGCGATCGAGAAGGCGGGTTGAAGGTAAGACGCGAGGCTGGTAGGGATTTTTAACGAGAATAGTAACGGAGTGTTAGAATAGATGAAAGATGTGGATTTTAGGTGGTATATTAGTAAATATAAAAGTTTAGATGTTGAATATGTATTTATAATAGTTTGAAATGTTATGTATGTAAAAATCCCTTTAAAATATTATTCTCTACAATAACTTTACACAACAATAAAAAACCACCCCAAATCAAGCCTTTAGGAGTAAAAAGTTGCTTTCTCTTGCTTGATTCAATTGCCCAAATCCAATAAGCCAATTAGTTTCTTTTTAGAAGAAAAGAGATGTAATAGTGGATACAAACATTAAAAAAATGTCACTACAATCAAGCACCTATAACTCATCCTTCAAAGTTAAAAAGAAAGGTTGGTATTTTTTTAGAAGAGCCCATAAATGTAAGTTGAGGGAGAATGTTTGTGCACATTATAATGGAAAGGAGGAAACATTGAAGCCACTGAGAGTTCATAATTTACTATTAAGCTTGAGACTTTTGAGTTCTTCAAGTTTGTTATTGAACCAAGTCTAAAAGATGCAAGATGATGATATCCATGAGCACCACTTCAAGAATGCCCCCAACTTTTAGTTCATAAAAAAATAACTAAGACCCAAAAGCCAAGTAAAATCATAATCTTCTTTACAAGCAAATTTGAAAAGAAAAAAAAACCTAGTTTAAAGGGGGAAGATCCATATAACCACTAAAAGGTCAAATTGTCTTAGCAACATCCAAAAGAACCCCAAAATAGGGCATTTTATTCAGAGATATCCAATAATCACGATCTCAGTCCTTAAACACAACTTCTTCAGAGTCAAAGATATAGTTCATTAATTAGAAAAGCATTGGTGGGTGGACATTGAGCAATTTAGAGAGATTATTCTGTGTAGTACGAACACGTCTGGAGGTCAATCCAGATACAGCACGACACCCAATACATTATGCATTGGGTGATATGGCACGTCCGAATTGACCTCCGAATATGTCCTGACACCGCACATAATAATTTTTCTAGTTTGGAAACCTTTCCAATTGAGCGACGTAGCTAAAGAAGAGCTAGAAGCATACCTAGTAATAGCAAAAAAGTTAGGAGAGGGTTTGAATCCTTGCGAGATGAAAGCTCTAGAGGTAAAGGAGAGAGAGAGAGAGAGAAAAAGTATAAAGATAAAAAGGAGGTTCAAGATAGCATTGCACCTCGTACATTGCTTATGTTCTTAGATCTAAGGCTGAGAGCCCCAAAAAGAAGGGCATTGAGAGTTGAGCTTTGCATGTTTCTTATATTGCTAGATCAAATGCCTAGGATTGCATAAAGAAGACCTTATGAAGGACCTGAACTATGAAGCTTAATGAAAGGACTTATCAAGGATGTTGAGATGGTGAGTAGGGGAGGACAAGCCTCGGGTCTAAGTTAAAGGAAGTGAAAAAAGAGAATATTAGTAGAAAAAAGTCAGGATCTCTCCAAATGGAAGGTTGAAAAACCCTAGGAGGCGTGGTAAAAAGAGAAGAAAAATATGCCAAAAAAAAGGAGCTAGAGAGCGCAATAGAGAAGGTTAAATTTTCAAGAAGCCAGAGGGTCATTTATTTTGATTGTCATGTGAATGAACAACAATAATCCTTACATATGATGAATGATGAATGATGACATTGGTTTTTATTACTTTTTGTAGGGTTGATTTTTGCCTAGTAGATAGGGGCATACATTAGTTATTTTTGTATTAAAACTACGTTTTAGAAAGCAGTAAAAAAACCGTCCCAAACGAAGCCTAAATGTCCAATTCAACATTGACATAAATGTCATTATCAAATTCTTTGTAGAACAAGTATTAGAGTTTCATTAGTTTATTTGCAAAAAATTAACATTTTTAAAACTCGACTAAATCAAACTAAATTTAATCACAATTTGATCTGATTGAATAGACTAAACAAATTCATCAACCAATCCATTTAAATTGCCTTGCAAACACAATATTTTTCTAAAATGTCTAAAATGACTGAAAAAATCATCTTTCAAACCCTATTTTTAACTGGCTGATTCTCTTACCACAAAAACAGTCTAGCAGCTTTTCCAAACAAAGCCGTAAGTAACCAACATCCAAAACACTTTTGCTAACACATTAATTACACAACACACCAATCATATACTGAAAACATACTTCAAAACCATTCATCGTGAAATAAAAAAACGGTCAAAGATAGGATACAAAGCACATACAATATGCTTAAGATAAAGAGGAAAGAAATCATCAATATTCAGCAAGAAGGAAAGCAAGATCTTAGTATAGATACCTTGACGTTTGCCATCAGGTTGTGATTGGTCTTCCTCGCCCCATTGTGAAACCCCTAGTTCCATCTGGCATCTTTGGCCCAGAAATTGGCTTATTGAACAAGCCTTCGGCACTAGAGCCAGAAATGGCATTGCCATGACCTAAATTAAGAAACAAAACCACCCAAAAAAAAATTGCTTTAATGATTAAGGCTTTGTTCAGTACGGCTTAAAGCAACTTTCTAGTACTAAAAAGCTGCTTTAAGCGAAACTTTAATGCTATGCGAGATATCAGAAGATATCACTTAAGAACAGAATTTTCCACTAATCATGAAAAAAATAATCACCTTGACCGTTGGTTGGTTGATGGTGGTTACCCCTTCCACGGCTTTTGTATCTATTCCCCCGCCCTGCCTTACTTCCGTTAGCATTCTCCTCTTCCTAATACAAGGCAGAACACGCAAGTTTCATGCACAATTTGACAGAGAAAACCATATAGGATAATGCTACAGAGCATAGTACAATAATTTTACAGACCTCTTTCTCTAATCCGTTTTGGTTCAGCACAGGCATCTCCGATGCTTCAGCAACCTTAATTTTCTCTGAAAATGTATCTTTCCGTCTTTTTGGAACAAGCCCATATTTTTCCTTGGGGGAAAGAAATGTTTGGATGAATGAAAATAGTGTTACACGGGATGAATAAAAATTGGAGAAAAATGACAGTTACCATTCTTTTTAACAGAATCTGAACTCGCATGCCATTCCTCCAATTCATTTCATCGTTCAGTGTCAAAACCTTTAACCAAAATAATGAGATCATTAGGGTGAACACAAGATGAAATATATATATATATATATATATTATAAATAAACCAATATATTTTTACAAGGAATTCAAAAGATATGCTTGGAATTGACCTTGAGACTATTGTGCGTTCTCCCAAGATAAAGTGTCCTATTAAAAGTCAAATTCTCGCTTAAAACTAATAAAGAAATATCATTTCTAATATTTTCTAACAGAGTCTTTTTAGGTCTATCTCTATTCTCTACCTTTCTTAATATAAGTCAAATCTAATACCTCTACTTTCCTAACCGGGTCATCGGAAAGCTTTTGTTTTATGCAACCAAACTATCTAAGACGACTCTCTCTAATCTTATCTTCAACTGGAGCTACTCCAACCTTTTCACGTATATGCTCATTTTGTATCCTGTCTCTAAGAGTAAGTCCACTCATCCACCTGAGCATCCTCACCTTTGCAACACTTAACTTAGTATTATGCTTCTCTTTTAATGGCCAACACTCTGCACCAAAAAGCATTGCAGATCTCACCATCATCTTATAGAATTTTCCCTTAAGTTTGAGGGGAACTTTTCTATCACACAAAGATTAGTATGTTGGATAAATAAATATAAAGATTTAGATGTTAGATTTATAAATACATAAAAATTATGTGATATGTTTGTAAATCCTCCTAAACTAAAACAAGATATCAAAATAAAATTTTAATACGTACAGCAGTCTCTGCTGCCTCAACGGTGTCATACTCAACAAGCGCATGCAGCTGCACAAAAGAAAGTGATAAAATCAGAATACTAAATTAAATGTCTCAAAATAATTACACGTATGTTATTTCCCAACTGAGGCTTGTCCGATAACTAATAAAGCAGATTTTCTAAGTTAATCATCTACACCTAACATCACACGTAGCTAAAAAAGTTCAGTAGGGAGTTTGCAGCAAGTGCTCGAGTACTATGAATAAAGTAAAAATTAGAACAAACCTTACTACTGACAGCAAAATCTGCCTTCTTGAGAGTTGCTAATTGCTCCGCTGAATGCGGATTACGTATGGCAACCCCTACAATACTGAGCTTACAAATAGAAGGATCAAGTTTAGATTGTTTCTTTTTCCCTTAAAACCTTTAAAGATATTTTATGTTCAGATGATGTGAAGAACATACTGTCCAGCTGTCCCAAAGATCCTCCGGATGCTGTCTTCAGAATAATCCTCTGGCAAATTTTCAACTAGAACAGTTCGTGGCTGGTTATGCAGAAGTTTAGTCTAAAATGATGAATCAGAATTCAATAACAACATTTAAAATTGTTTGAATAATAAATATACAGAAAAGAAATATACCTTTTCATTCCGCACTTCGGCAACTGGAAGTGGATGCAGCCGTTTCACCCTTTTCCCATCAGAGCTAACAACCTGGAAAAGATGCCAACAAATACTAAATATTAAACACAACAAATGCAGAAAAATAGTGGGTATAAGAACATTTATCCTGCCAGCAAACATAAATAGTTGTCATTCAAGGAGTGCTACCTGGCTATGAAAAAGTTGAAGGGAATCAGAAATAAGCTAATCAAAGTCAAAGCATGATCTTACAACTAGGGAAGATGTCCTCAGAGCAGCCTCGATGAGAGACAGATCCTTGGTGAGTTTTTTCATCTTTTTAAATGATGAGATAAGTGTAATTGGAACTGCAGCAAACCAAATAAAATTTAATACAGAAGATAGATTAAATGGTTTTCAATACAAATTAGCTGAAATGGTAACAGATTTGAAATAATACAACGCACATCAGAGTCAAATTTAATTTCTATCATGTTCTATAAAAACAGAAATCATTAAAAAAAATGAGCTAAATGACCTTCACAACAACTAGATGGGCGATACATTCTTTCTAAAGCACGCAGAAGAGCAGCATGTGTCGATATAACAACATGCAAATCAGATTATCATCACAGTCATCTCTAATAACTAGATATCAACACTCAGTAGGCCATCAAAATCTAGTAATGGATCGAATTGTTCTAGCCACATATGCTGACATTCAAAGTGGGAGAACATATTTTGCCAACCCAGAAACTAAAAAGTAAAGTCAATCAATTTGATCTTCATTTTATTCAGCCCACTAAACTAACAACAGACCTCATTTCCATCATAGGTGTCATCTCCAGATCTCATATAATATTCATTTCAAGCAATCAGCTTAGAATTCACTAAGTACTGGCGGAGTTATGAGACCAGTACAAAGGAAATAATCCAAAGTTTCATTAATGCCCTGGTTTAGGTAGCATTCATTATGCACAGTATATCAGTGGTCGAAATCACAAAAACACTCTCTACAATGCATTGGAAAGACTGCATGATAATCAACACATTCCCATGAATGAAAGGTGTAAAGCAGGTAGCACTCATCCTGAACTAGAGATTGCAGATTTAAATACCAAAAACAGTCTCTACAATATAAGGAGAACAACAACAACAACAACAAGATCAAGCCTTTAACCCACTATGTGGGGTCGGCTATATAAATCATTTTTCTCCATTGTGTCCTATTAAAAGTTAAATTCTCATTTAAATCTAATAAAGAAATGTCATTTCTAATATTTTCTAATCAAGTTTTTTTATTTCTACCTCTACCTTTCTTAACATAAGTCAAATCTAATACATCTACTTTCCTAACCGGGTCATCGGAAGGCCACCGTTTTATGTGACCAAACCATTTAAGGCGACTCTCTCTAATCTTATCTTTAACTAGAGCTACTCTATCCTTTTCAGGTATATGGTCCTTTCGTATCCTGCCTCTAAGAGTAAAGCCACTCATCCACTTGAGCATCCTCATCTCAGCAACACTTGACTTAATATTATGCTTCTCTTTTAATGGCCAACATTCTGCACCATAAAGCATTGCAGGACTAACTATCATCTTATAGAATTTTCCCTTAAGTTTGAAGGGGATTTTTCTATCACACAACAAGCTCAATGCATTCCTCCCCTTCAATCATCCAACTTGAATTCTACTAATAATATCCCCATCTATTTCACAATCACTCTGAACAATAGACCCAAGATACCAAAATCATAAACTCTAATTAATGACTTGATCACCCAAAGTCACAATCCCCCCACTAAATATATTATTACTAAAATTACACTCTATATATTCAATTTTAAATCTACTCAAATGAAAGCCTTTAGACTCTAAGGTTGACCTCCATAATTCAATTTTACAGCCAACTCCCTCTCTAGTAGTATTATCAACAAGAAGAATATCTTCAGCAAAAAGCATACACCAACCTCGCATAAAATGTCTAGTGAGAACAACCATGACCAAAGCAAAAAGATGCAAGCTTAAGGCTGATCCTTGGTGTAATCCAACTGAAATAGGAAAATATCGCATTTAGGGTGCTAAGATCACTAATACAATAATGAGAATATCGCATAAATCAACCCTTCTCCAAACCCACCATTAGTATCCTCCTCCACCTCATTTCTGCTCCCAATCTAAAGCATAATAAATACTACAAAGAAAAACAAACAGTAACAAAATATTCTCAAGACGAATAATCAGGCAACTTAAATATACTAAATATCTTCATTTGGTCAAATGTACATGAAAATCAATATTAATTTAAAACCCAACCACTTAAATATGATGATTTTATTTTTCACATAAAAATGTGAAAACGAAATGATCAATATATTTTTTTTTTTTTTTAGAAACAACCAAATGAGCTTTAGGCTTATTTTATTTTGCACTCCAATCAAAGTACACAAAAGAACACATAAAAACACATGGAGAAGTTAAGATAGAAGACATGAGTTGAATTTTATGTGTATTTCATTAGGGATCTTACACCTAAATTTATACAAACAGAATTCTAGGTTACTTTTGGTAACTTTTACCTAAGAAAACGATTAATTACATTGAAGATACTCTACAGCTTGCACGCATGTATTTCCCTAAAAATCTGAGAGTTTTCACTCCTTGCAGAGGACTATATATTGCCACCTCTCATGTTTACAATAATGGACCACTAGCTTTGCAATCCTACATATTGCCAAGCTGACCTCTAAAACTACAATCCTAAAACTATAAGATAGATATTTTCCATGCCTAACTTGGTGGTGATATTCTGCAATGTAGAGTTTGGGTAGTCCTTTGGTTAGGCTATTGGCTAATACTTGTGTGTTTGGACATATGAATACATATTGGTCCATTTCTAAATTTTCTTTGATGAAGCGTATATCGATTTCTATGTGTTTGGTTTAGTCACATTGAACTATTTTGTGTGTGATGTTGATGGCCATTTTGTTATCACTATATAACCTCACAATATCGTTCCCATTTTATTCTAAAATCATCCAAGATAACTTTTATCAATAATAGTTCACAGATTCATTAGGACATTACCTAAAATTACGCTTCAACACAAGATTTGACAACTATTAATTGCTTCTTGTTTCCTCAAATGATTAGATTCTCACCAAGAAAAGTATAATAACTAGTAGTAGACTTACCATCTATAGGACATCCTGCCCAAACATCACCTTTGTATGACTCTCAACCAAGTCTTATATTAATTTTGAATAAGATTTATTTTCTCGATGTTGTTTTGAGATTTTGAGATATTGATGAATTTTGTATGAAATCTGCAGATGTATTTCTTTAGGATTATGCATAAATTGACTTAGAATACTTATTATATAGACTATGTGTGGACAAAATAGATAAGCTTCTCAATCAATCTTTGATACCTTCCTTTGTCAACTTTTGGCTTGTCACCGGCCTCTCCAAGTTTGTGGCAATAGTCAATTGAAAATTCTATGGGATTACATTCCATCATGTCTTTCATTTAGTTGATATAGGATGTATTTTCATCAAGCGATGAACATCTCAATCTTTTAGTGAATCAACTTTTCAAAAAAATATATTTGTGGCTTTCTCACTCTTTTACTTCAAATACTTTGAATAGTTGATCTTTCACTTTTCTTATTTCTTCAAGAACATCTACTATTGCAATCATATCATCATCCATATACATTATAAGAACTACAATTCTTAAATAGTTGGATTTATTTATAAATAGAGTATGATCTTCAAGATTTTGTTTGAAGTTCATCCTTTTTATGGTTTTGGTGAACTTCTCAAACCATGCTCTGGAGGAAAGTTTGAGATCCCATATAGAGCTTTCTTCAACCTACATACATTATTAGCATTAAAATCTTTATTAAAAAATGGTGAGGGTGAGGGTTCCATTTAGGCTTCTTCTTCTAGTTCGTCATGGAGGAATGCATTGTTTAGTTACAACTGCTATAAGGACACGTTAAGGTTGGCTACGAAGGATAAAAGTTGGATGATGTTTAGCCTTGCAATTGATAGGTTTCTCAAAAAACCAACTCCATAGATCTAAGTGTAGAATTTCGCCACTAGTCAAAGTTTATACCGTTGGAGCGTCTCATTTGCATCGTATTGATTGTATATACCACTTACATACAATTAACTTCTTCCTTCTAGAAATTATATGACCTCCCAAGTTTGACTTTCTTTTAGTGCCCTCATTTCTTCAATCATGGATTTTTCTCCTATCTTTATTTTCAAATATTTCATGGATAGTTCTTAGGATAGTGATATTTTTTATCTCAATGAGAAAGGTTTGTGAGAAGAAAATATCAAAATATTGAAAAGTGAAATAGAGTTAGCTATTGAAAGTTGGGTGCATTCTGAGGTTCTCTTTCTCATGTCATGATGGCTTCGAACTTTATCGGTGGGGTTCATACATTCACTGCATGGCGATTCATCTTGCATGGATTCAAATGATTAAGCATGCTTTGATTTAGTTTTGTACTCTTCTTTCTATCTTCTTGAGTATACATATAGTAATGGTTTAAGTTCATTTGATAAAATTTTATTGGAATTGTTGTGATGTGAAACATACATGCGGAAGAGTTACTTTGGATTGTAACTAGGGCTGCAAACGAACCGAGTCGAGTCGAGCCGAGTATGTGAGTGTTCATGTTTGTGTTCATTTAATATCAGCTTGTTCAAGTTTGGTTCATGTTAGTTCGAGCTTTATTGTGTGTTCATGTTTGGTTCATTTAAATTAATGAGTGTTCATGTTTGGTTCATGTTCAGTTCATGTTCGTTCGTTTAGTGCTTATCGAGCTTGTTCGCGAACATATTTAACGAATTTTTTTTAACTATCAAACAAATGCGTTCATGAACATATCTATGAACAAACACATTTATAATAAAAGCAATTGTCTATGTAACAAAGGCAATGATTATTTATATTTGTTAATTTTATAGTCAAATATTAATTATTTTTATCTAGCTTATTCACGAGTTCAAAATCGAACACGAATCAAGCTTTTATCGAGCTTAATATCGAGATTGTTCACGAACTTCAAATGATGTTGTTCGCGAACATAAGTGAGTCGAACGCATTAGTGTTCAAGTTTGTTTATTTAAGAATCGAGTATTTAAACTATTGTTCAAATTTGTTTGTTTAGCTAATTAAACGATCACAAACGAGCTTTAATCGAACCGAACAACGAGTAGCTCGTCGAACGTTTGGTTCGCTTGCAACCCTAATTGTAACAATAATTATTGAACATGAACGTTGCTAATTAGTAACTTATGTTTCACCCAAGTTAAATTCTTAGAACTTTAGTGAAAATATTAAGTAATGGC